TGACACATATTAAAAATATAATTTGGGACAAGTCTAATATTAAAAATATAAGATATTGACACATATTGGATATTATAATATTATATTTTAAAATTAAAGAAAACATATATTAATCTCTCATATTCAATAAAAATGAAATGAATTTAAGAAATTATAAATTTACTTTGATTGCTCATAAAAGAAGAAATATATTTAAATTTCGTAGATATCATAAATTCAATTATAAGTCATAGGATATTATAAATTATCATATTGAAGTCTAGAAAATCGGTTTTATTGTAAAAATTAAATTAAATAAATTAAAAATCATAAAAATAGATATCAATAAGAAAAATAAAATTAACAAGATTTATCCTATATATTAAAATATTTAACTAATATATTTTGAAATATAAAGAAAGATAGGTTAACCCAATTTGTTTAAGTAATATACTTTTAAAGTTGGTGTTTATTATTCGAGACATGATATATGACACATATATTTCATATATTTTTTATTTTATTTAAATAAGACGGGTTGATGATGTTTTTCAGACACGTATCAAATGTGTCAGACATATGCACGTATCTTGTGTGTATCTAATACGATACTTTTTAGTATTACAAAGTTCAGTACCATCTTCATCAAATATTCTCTCAACCAAGATGTGATCGCCGCTTACGAACTCGTGTTTGGCTTGTCTGTTCGCGCATAAATCAATCTCGAAGATCATTGTGATTATATTATTGCTACTACTTTTCGATTGTAATATTTGTTGTCGGTTGCATGTAATCACAACAAAACTTATAATGAATGGTTGAAAATAGCTTTTTTGGTTGAAGAACAACTTTTTACAACTAAGAAAATATTGATTTGCTAGTATTTACTGAGAAACCAGATGTGATTGTTGGTAATTCTAAGGTGGTTAATGATGTGCTGGATGTTGTCGTTAAGGATCCTAATGTTGCTGCAACTATGGTATCTCATATTTCTTTACATTGTGTTCCCCCTTCTTTGGATCGAAGTCCTCCGGTGATTAATGTTCCTGCGGTATCTAATAATCTAGATCCAGGCTCTGTGTCAAATTCTGATGTTGGTTTTGGGGCTTTACCTTCTGGTGAGCCGTCGGGGGGTTCCCCTGTGGCTGGGTTTGACCCTGTTGCTTTGGCTGGTGGTCATTCGGAGCCTGGCATGAATTCTCCTATGGGTGTTGTTAACTGTAATAACCCGGATATGCTTGATGTTGGTGTCAATTTGTTGGATGTTGATGTTTCTTCGTTGTCTCCTAATGCAATTCCTTTTATTCCCTCGTGTTTGATGGACGGCTTTGGTCCGTCGGATATGATTTTGGACTCTTTGGCGGTTGGTCTGGTGGCGGAGTTGGACTCGGCGCGCTCCTATTATTGGTGCGACTTCTCTTGCCGAGGGTGGAAGGGGGTCTGGAGGTTCGCCTGTTTTGGGTGTTGTGGAACCAAATGGGTGTGGTCAGGTTTTTGATAAGTCGGAAGGTGAAGCTGCTGTTAATTTGTCTGTTGAATCTTCTCCTGTTGGGTTTGAGGCTGAGCCTCCGTCATCTGGTGTCAGAGAGGAGTGTATTCCTTTTGTCAACAGGTTAATTGAGGTTCCAGTGAATGAGATTGATACGCAAGCTATGACTAAATGTTTGGGTGATCCTTCTGGTGTGGAGATCAGGGACCAGCTTAATTGGCTGAATGTTTCGTCGGATGGTGAATTGGAATCTGATTCGTCTAAAGGTGGTTTGGTGTCTGATAATGACAATGATTTCTCTCTGGTGTGTAAGAGACCTTCTCTCATTGTTGCAGCTCGGGGGAGATTTTGAGGGAGAGGCCGACGTAGATGATGATTTTTCGTGTCATTATGTTTTCCTTTTTTTCTCTTGGTGTTATCCTCGGGAATTATACGCTTTGTGGTGGAATTTGCTGTTGAGGTGGGCTAAGGGCAATGATGTGGTCGGGGCTCGCGTCCCGGTCTTTTTGCTGGTGGCAACCTTTGGTGGGACTTTTCGGGACGGTTTTTGGACATTGTCTACACCTTACTGGACGGTCCGTGCAAGGCTTCAGGGTCGCTGGAAGCCTCGGCCGTTTACTGAGCCCGCTTTTAGCTGCTTTTAGCCTTTAGCTTTTAGCTTGTTTTTTTTTTCAGCTCGTCTTTCTATTTTGTTGTAACCCTTTTGGATTGTTTTATATATATTATCTTAAAAAAAAAAAAAAATCTTTGCTGAATCTGACTATAGATCAGTCTATCAAGCTCGAATTTTGATGAATAAAGCGAAATTTGATTGTATAGAATTTTAGTCTTGATCAAATAACGTAGCTAGCAACATATATATGTTCTTTTATCAATTGATCGCAACTAGCTTCGCTTCATCCCCATCGATTTGAAATTCTTAAGTTTTTGTTTGGAACAATTTTTGGCTGATGTTTATTTGTTGCTTTTATGATATTTTAAATTTTTGATTTGAAAGCGACGGTAGAAACATTATCAAAGATGTCTCAAACGAAATCGAACTCAATCAGCTCTCAAGCTCTCTCGTTCTCAAACGAAATTGTTTAGGTTGGTCATGCGTTTAGGTTGGTTGGATTTAAGGTAGTTCATGCTAGCTTAGATCGATGATGAGAAATGAAATTTTATATTTTAAACAAATTTTTTGCTTATTTTAAATTATATTAATCCTTAGATTATGGTGAATTGGTTATTAAATTTATTTGAAGAGGAATATATTTAATATTTTCTAATGATAATAAAATGTAATTTACATATATAATATATTAATAGGCATTTCATTTACTATTTAAAGGACTTGCTCTTTTCATATGTTAATTTATTTTATTAATTTTACTAAAATATAATTTACTTATTTAATTTATTAAATTGACTAAAATATAGTTTAGTAATTTAATTTATTAATTTTTTTTGGGGGAAAAATTTATTAATAATTAAGTCAGAGGCGTGTAACTAATTTAATTTACTAATTTTTTTCCTACGCGAAAGGGAGAGAGAAAAGAGATGCGACAGCTGGAAAGAGAAGGTCAGAGGCATGTAACTAAAGCCAAAAAAAAACAAAAAAAAACGAAGGATATATAGAACGAACCGAACGCAAGAACAAGGCGCAGATTTCTGCACAGAAAGCAAAAGCTCTGCGGAAGTAACAAAAAGGGCGTGTAGAGCTAAAAGTGCAAGGCCGCCGGCGACAGGCTGCGGTCGGCGAAAGGCGAGTTCTCATCGGAATCTTCAAAAAGGGAAAGCAGAGTTAGAGAGGGAAAGAGGAGCGCATGCGTGGTGGCCGGCGATGTACAGTCACCGGTCTGCGGCCGGTCCCAAAGATGCTAGGCAATGACATCGATCCCGGGGCCCGACGCATGCCCACCAACTGTTCGCTTAAATTACCCAACGGCCAAACTTTCACTCTTTTTACTCCTTCCTTTAAGCTCGGGTCCCCATTATTTAATTAAGGTGCACGCGAATTCCCGTGCCCTTTAAATTCCATTCAAAACCTTCCTTCGTTCACTCCGCCGCCGTATCTCTTTCTTTGGTTCCTAGCTTCAGAAAGATAGAGAGAGAGAAAGCAGAGGAAACCAGCTTCCAAGACGGGTCTTCCGGTGTGGATGCTGGGGATGGGCGCCGGCCGGTGGGAAGAAGACATGAGCCACCTTCTAGCCTTGCTCTTCCACCAGGTTTATATATACAGTCCCTTATCCCCCTCTTTCTCTCTCCTCATCATTCACTTCCAAAGCCATTGCTAACAAGATTTTTCCTTTGCTTGCTTATCTCCTTTATATCCATAAAGGGAGTGCTGGACGAGCATTTCATGCAGTTGCAGCAGCTACAGGACGAGTCCTCACCGAATTTTGTGTCGGAAGTAATCTCCATCTACTTCAGGGAGTCTGAGAAGCTTCTCAGAAATATCAGAACACTACTGTACGAATTTGCTGTTCTCATCATTGACTTATTTTTAGTTCAGCAATTAACTTTTTTTTTTTTCTCTTCTGGTTATTGTTTAGTTTGGATCGTGAATGCACGGATTATAGGAAGATCGGCGTTTATTTGAACCATCTGATGGGCAGCAGCTCTAGCATTGGTGCTAATCTTGTTCGAAATGTCTGCGTCGCATTCCGCGCAGCTTCAGAGCATTGTAACTGGGCTGGGTATGGCAACTTACATTCAAATTATGTATATATGATGACTGAATGATTAGTGCAATATAAAATTTTCATAAATATCACTAATTATTTCAAAGTATATTCAATGATTTTCAAAATGAACATAAATTTTTTCAATATATAGTCTATTTAAAGGTAGTTTTGTTATACTTTATAATTCTTGTATATATATTTTTTAATTTTTTAATGCTAAGTATTTGAACTCATATTGCTCTGATTGAAAATAAATTTAAGAATTCTTGTGGACTCAGTTTGAGCACTTGCTAGAACAAAAAATCTCCTCTACTCATGCATGTGACATAGACAAACTGTCAAATAGGATTAATTATTCTTTGCTGACGCCGAACTCTGTCTGGAGATCAATCAGAATGTTTCACGTCAACTCTTTGCTCGATACCATGGCTCGGTACATATCGCTAATATGGTACATTCTGGTTGGTCTTCGAATGATGTTTTGCGTCCGGCCTTCGCACAAAATAATTTCGTGTCAAATAGCTAATTTATCTTGTAAATGCTATAAAAAGTTTCATATGACTGAAAAATCATTTAGTAGATATTAGCAGGAGAGAAGTGAAAGAGAGAATATTTCTTGATGGGGATATAACCATTGGATGCTTCTGAGACAAAATAACCATGATTTGATATATATATATATATATATTGAAATCATACACACAAAAATTCCATATTAAAGATCATTTCTTATAAGAATTTTGCTTTGCTACCATCCATTCTGTACTGATATATGGATATATATAAATTTTCTTGACTTGTAATTATAAATCAATATGGAAATAATGGTGATAAATATTCATTATAAGTTTTTTTTATGAGAAAGTCTTTGTATAATTGTAAGATTTTTAGATATCATGCAGTAATTAACATTGCATTTGCTTCTACTCATTTGATAATGCTTTACTATTTTATCTTTTTAATTTAAGATATCATAATTTTTATTTATGATTAAACATAAGAGTAAAAATTTTAAATTAATATGATTTTTTCATGCTTTTCTGTTTATAGCACATTTATAGAACATTTTTTAAAACATTGCATTCCAATTAAATTACAAGTCTATGAATCAATGCATAATTAAATAATCTCTCTCTACATGATTAAATTTTCTCTCTCCTATATATGTAGAGATAGAGAGAGAAAGCGATAATTTAATCATATAGTGATCCATAGGCTTGTAATTTATAAGACAAGTTTGTGGAGATTATGCAGTTATGTACCCCAAATAATTGGGTATACACATCGAATAAATAATGAGTAGATAGAGAGTAAACATCCGTGTACTCTCATTACAAAGAGAGTTAAGTACGAAATTCACAGCTGATAATTTTTTTAAATATATACTGACTTCTGCGACCAAGAGACTTCAGTGTGCTACACCATGGCTTGCTTATTTAAAAGCTTATTGTACATTCCCAAAGCTAGTTGTATTATAAGAGCTAAAATGCCTTATAGCACTCTTACCATTCTGGAAATACCCACCTATGCTTAGCTCGGTTGGCGGGCGTGCTCTGTTAGGAACCCCCCATCCCGAGTTCGATTCCCTCGAGCTGCAATCGCCCCTTCAGTGGGGGCACCAAAGCGCAGACTGCTGGTACAGTGAAAGGGCTTGCTTATTTAAAAGCTTATTGTACATTCCCAAAGCTAGTTGTATTATAAGAGCTAAAATGCCTATATAGCACTGTTACCATTCTGGAAATACCCACTTATGCTTAGCTCGGTTGGCGGGCGTGCTCTGTTAGGAACCTCTCATCCCGAGTTCGATTCCCTCGAGCTGCAATCGCCACTTCAGTGGGGGCCCCAAAGCACCGACTGCGGGTACAGTGACGTGTGTGGCCCAATAGATCGATCGGGATTTACAAACTACCAAGCGCCCTCGGTGAAGTTAGACGTGACAGCGGACAGTTCCTCATAAAAAAAAAAAACTATTTTGGAATTATGTAGCATCAGTGCTTAAAAAAACCTAAGCTTTAAGGGCGGAGATATATAGCTAGCTAGGGTGGTTACGTATACAATAAAGAAACTAGGTCCCATGACTTGGGCTGTCAACACTTTAATGGCGATGACCATGCTACTGTTCCTTTGCCTGCAACAGTACAGCTCCTTTGCTGGCTTAGTCCCCCGCGTGGGTTTCTGCGTCGTCTTGGCCGCATGCAAACCCTTCCTTTTACTTCTTTCAAGTTTCTAATTAATTCCCTTCTCACGTGCCCCTTATTTTTCTTTGTCGCCATAGGTGCCTTCGCTCGTTAGCTGTGCTTGAACACGAGTACTGTTACCTCAAGAACAAACTTCATGAGCTCTTCCAGGTATGTTATATACAAACTATATGCATGCATAGCTCTTAAACTGTTTAGGTTTTGTTTGGAATGAATTTCTTACTGCTTTTTAGTATTAAAAATTTGCTTTATGAAGCAATAAAAAAATTGTTTGATATTTTCTTAATTAATTCTTTTGCTGTTAAAAGCTTTCTGCTTAAATTCTTTGGGTACTGATCTGGTATTGTACAAAATCTAGATGCTCAGTGCTATCACATTGTAAGTTTTTGGAGATGTTAGAAGTATTAGAATTGTTATTAATAATAGATTTTTATAATGTTTTTTATTATAATATATTATTATTATTATTATTATTATAAAATATATTCTTTTTTATTGTATTTTTTAGTCATTCTTGTTGTTTATTTCCTTATGAAAAAAACTATGTTAGTATATCTTGATATAAATTATATTATAATGTGCTTAAATTAATATCGTCTGATTTATTTTAAAATTAATGCAATGCAATCTGTTAACCCATTTTGATTTTTTTAATAACTTATTAACTATAATATTTAACATATTTGATATGAAATAAGAAAATTATACCTACAAGAAAAATGGAAAAACAATATCAAACAGGTCATTTTTGGATAAAAAATAGATTTATAGGTCAACCCGAACCTGTCTCATTTAATATATAGGTTAGAAAAACCGAACAATAATCCGACCCATTCATTAATTAAATGAGTCAATCCGAATCCAGATTTTTTTGATCAGGTTGACGGGTTGACGGGTTGATGGGTTGGATCATTTTTTAACATCACTACCCTTTGCTCTCCCCATATTACACTAATTTTAAAATAAATTCAATCACTTCCAAATTTTCCCTAAAAAGATTGGTATTATGATAATCTTATTTGATTGTTTTTTTCTTTCTTATCTCTATAAGCACCAGAATAATCCAGTCAAGGATAGATACAGTACTTCAAAATTTCTAACCCTCTGTGTGTTTTGACCCTCCCTTCATCAGATAGAGCAGCAGAGAGTGTTGGCGGCAGGAGTTCGATACCACCCTCTTCTGCAATGATGCGAGAAAGAGCAAATCACGACAGCAATCAAGCAGATCTTTCTTCTTAGTAGCTGAGACCGGTAGTGAGATCTAATCGATTTAATTACTGAGGAGTATTAATGGTGATCAGGTCGGAGGACTTGTAAGGCGTGAATGGCTAGCTGTTATCTCTGTACTTGTTGTTCAAAATAATGAATTATTTCTGATGAGTCTGCAGCTCTTTTATGTCTTGTTCTTAATGCATTTCAGCAGCTGGGCCTTTATTAATTTCTTTTGATCGTCTCTCCCACAACTGGAAAGCCTCAGATTTCTTTGCCGGTGATAAATAAATGGGAGAAGGGGAGGTAGGGGATGGAATTGTCGGCACCTGGCTCTGATGTAGGGTCGACCATTGCTGTATTTACTTGTGCGCAAGATTTATCGTGGTGAACACTATTTACACTTACCCAACTATGATTTTGTTTGGGAAAGCTTTATTACTACTTATTAAAGCAACTCTTTGGTATAAAAATTAAATGCTGCTTTAAGAAGCAGTAAGAAAGTCGTCCCAAACAAAGTCTAAGGGTTCAACTTGGACGGCTTTCTTATTATTTTCTAAAGCACTTAAAAAAAGTTAAATTAATCTTTTTTTACTAAAAAGTGCTTTAGAAAGTAACAAAAAAAATCATTTCAAACGAAGCTCAAATTTGTTATTAATATGTTCTCTGGAGTTTATAGTTATAAGAAAAAAAAAATTATGTTGAGCTTCTCTTGTTTCGATTTAACAATTTGAAATTGAGTTCTGTCATGGAGACCAAATGATTCTTGAGAGTTTGTTGTTTGGGAAAGCTTTTTTTTTCATCGTTGTTTTTAAGTTTCATCTTTAACAAGTATGTTTCATCAAGAATCATAACTATTTTTTTGGCACATTTGAATAAGCAGGAAAAAGCCCTGCATAAGGAAATGATTTTCGAGTTCTGACCACCAATAAATTTATCATAAAACTTTTACTTCCAATTTCTAATAAAATATTCTTTGAAACCACCCTATAAAAATGATTATTGTTAGTAACACTAGAAGTGCAAGAAGGCTTAGAACTGAACAAGCTTAGCAAGAATATGCTAAGAAGCTCATCACTTACAAAAAATCACTTTGATACAACTGTGAACCATGTTACCTCTCCCAATTAAAAAAATTTTGAAGGTATTCCGTCACCCGTGTATGCCCTAGCCGCCCCTTCTGCTCATCTTCTCCTGCTTTTCTCCTCCTCCTCCACCTGGACTGGAGGGGAAGCTCTCTTCTTAGTATGGGGTCCTCTCTCCTCCCTCAAGTTTTTCTTCTAAGGATCTCTCATTATCCTTTCTCCATATCCAAGAAGAGGTGTTTGTATTCCCTAAAGCTAAGACCGACTCTGTGGCGGAGCAATGGAATTTATCTTTGGTTGGCTATTCGGTTGGTAGACTTCCTAATTATGAGGCGTTGCTTGCGTCTATCCGAAAAGCTTGGAATCTCCAAGGTACTATGCAGTTTTATAATTTAAGTAATGGGTTCTTTCTCTTATAATTTTATTCTCCCTTGGACCATGAAATGGTATGGACTAGGGGAGTGTGGTTTCTCTTGGGTAAGCCATTTATCCTTAAAAAAAAGACATTGAAATTTCATCTATAGAGGGATAATTTCAACACGGTTCCCATCTGATTTAAGATATTAGATTTGCCTCTATATTTTTGGGATTCTAAAGGAATTTCAAAGATAGCCAACAAAGTGAGTGTTTTGTTAGCTTTTGACACTCCAACTACTCAAAAATCCCAATTGACCTATGCCCATGTGTGTGTTCAGGTAAATAACAAATCCACCTACCCGGACAACATACCGATCTCGATTGAGGATGAGATTATCAAATTGAAAATTCAATATGAATGGAGGCCGGTTTCTTATTCTCGCTATGACTCTTTGGATCATTCCTCACAACCCAACCCACCCCAAAACCTAGCCAAATACAATCTAATAGAGGTCATAGTCAAATCAGGCTTCCTAATGCCTCTCGAGCCAGTGATCATAGGCGGAGCAAACAACCCCATATTCACCCTCCACGTCCTCAGACCATTGTTGGGCCTATTCCATAGCATCCCACATGTAAACCTACTGCCTCACACACTCATACTCTGTCACCTTCATCAATATATCTGATTCCGAGCATAATACCATGTATAATCCTGTCACCACTGTTATTTCTACAATGGAAAATCCTTCTGATATGTGGTGCCCCAGGCATCCATAGTGAAAGGATTCGTCGACAGTCTTGATCAACCATCACTTCTTGCTCCCTTGCTCTGACCTGAAATTGTTAACCATATATAATGAGCTTCAAAAAGCCCAGCAGGTCACCAAAGCCTATAACTGAAATCAAAGTACGGTACTGAAATAATATGCATGTCAGTCAATCAAATCCATATCAGTCAGTTGCACATGATCAGTGAATTTATGCAGCAGATACGAAAATCAGTAATCAACGCATGATCGATACAATCCACAATCATCGGTAAAAGAATCGATAAACAGTAGAAAGAAATCCATAAAGCTCCATGAATCAGTACATACGATAAATCTCGTAAGAATCCAATCAAATCGATAGAAGAAAATCGTCGTCTCGATAATAACTGTTAAATCAATATCGTATCAACATAATCAATCAAATCAATCATCTCTGGCCAATACTATCAATCAGTATGAAATCATATAAAACAATCAAATCAATACAGTAAAACCTATTCCATATCGATCAATGAATCACATGCAGCAGTTCAATATGATATATCAATGAAGCGATAGTATCAATGAATCAATACAATATCAATATCCATATCAATATCAGTATCTATGTACAGTGACACATACAATATGCAGTATCAATGAACCGACAATAACAGTAAACCCGTAAATCCATCAGTAAATCCATTCGTCAAGAAATCAATCCAATACATTAATCCGTCGATATCAATAAATCTATAAATCCATTCAAAATCAATAAATCAATAATCAATACAAGAGTCCGTCGATATCAATATATATATAAATCCATTCAAAATCAATAAATTCATCGGTATAAATAAATGCATACAGTAATCAATAAATCCATAATGAGATCATAAGAACAGTACTTACACAAGCCATACAATACCATAGTTTTACTCGACAAGTACAATCACTGGCTATTAAGGCGTTTTTCGAGTTGATAATCCATAGTGCTGTTGTAGAAATCCATAAATATATCCATATCCATATCCATATCCATTGGCTCAATAAGAGTCGTCACCAATCTGTGCCCGTCGACTGAAGAATCTCCAACCAACGGTTCAACTAGTATGCACTTGTCTTTCAATAATAGTAATATATATTCAATCATATATCCACATTCATATGCATATTCAATCATTCAAATCATTAATTCAGAAAATCAGAGATCGTACGAGAAATCAGCGGCATAACGGCAGTACACGGAATGTACACAGAAATAACAGATTCAGAAATTTACCAAATTACCACAGATCATGGAAAACAACAATATAAGACTTTTATCGTACTGAAGCAACATTTTTCAACATCATGATAATTTTATATTCGATAAAAATTGCACAGAACTCAAAATTATCGGTAAAAACTTTACAGAAAATACACAAATCGTTTAGAAATATCATATCAGAAACACATCAAAAGTTGTGCGGTAAAACTTTCGTCAATACAAAATTACGCACGTTATTCGGTAACGGAAACACAAATCTGAGCACAGAACTATCAAAACTCGAAATCTTCAAAATCAGAAATAAGATTCGAAGTCCTTACTGCGAGACAAACAAATCTTCAAACTGCGTCGTCGGACGAAAAGTGCTCCGCGGCCTCCGAAATCAAGCCTCTTCTTTCTCTTTCCTTCTCTTTCTCTCTCCTGCCTATTTCTCTTTCTTCAAAATGATCAAAAATATCTCAAATCGGATATTTATCAAACAGGATCGTCCCGGACGAACTCCTCTGGACTCAAAACGTCCAGACGAAATTAATTCTAATTTATTTCATCCCTGGACGAAACTCTCGGGTTCAGTTCGTCCCGACCCTTACATGTTCGTCCAGACGATCCAGACAGATTTTTTCACAATTTTCTTCAGTTCGTCCGGGACAAAGGCCAGTTCGTCCGGACTAACAGCACTAAAAAAAATCAACTTCGGAGGGGTTTTACATGATACACCCACATCAACCTCCCCTATTGACCCTATAATATATGCACCCATTGTCCAACTACCTGACAAAAACTCTCCCATTAATCCTAGCCGGTGTACTACTAAACGCTTAGAACATTTTTTTTTTGAGTTTGTTGATGCCACAGAGGAGAGAGAAAGGGCAGGCGGGTCCGGTAGAAATTTTAAATTTTTTTTATTCTGAGAGGGAATTGAGATTTGAGGCAAGAGTTTAATAAAAGTTTTATATTTAATAAAAATTTTGGTATATGATTTAATAAAAATTTTCTAATTAGTTAGATTAGTAAAAATACAAGTTAAAAATATGTATAATGAAAATGGTTAAAATTTAAAATTTAAAAATTTAAATTAGTAAATATAAATTATTAAATGAGTATATTTAATAGTATTTATTTTTAAAATTCTAATTGAGCTATAATCGAGCTTCTTAGTCGATCTCTAATCGAGCTTGTTCACGAGCTCCTAAGTAAGATTGTTCATGAACATAAATGTACTGAACGATACACTGTTCAAGCTTGTTTATTTAGCTATCGAGTATTTATCAAGAGCGCTTAAACTCGTTTGTTTACCTTATAAAACGAACATGAACAAGCCCTTATCGAGCCGAGCCATGAGTATCTCGTCAAACGCTCAGTTCATTTGCAGCCCTATCACTCTACCTCTCAACAACGCTGAATCAATTTAAAAACTATTTGACTAAGCTTGATGGATTTTGGGACATTGTTCTTAATGTGTTTTTGGAGCCTTCATATATATGGAAACCCTTTAGTGGATTTCTGCAACAAACTGAGGAAATTGAAATCTTGCATTAAGTTGAAATATTGGGCTTCATTTTCTGTTATTGAGACCTATTTGAAAGATCTTCATTCACAGCAAAATGATTACCTTGCTCTCTTGGATGAGGATCCTAATAATCTTGCTCTTAATTGTACCCTTACACAATTGAATGGAAGGATTTTTGATCTCTCTAACTTTTGGTGTTCTTGGATTATTCGGAGA